AGGGAGGAGAGGGGAGAGGGGAAACGGGAGAGCAGGGGGGTGGTCATAGGCAGTTGCAGGGGTGGGAGAATCACAAGTGCTAGAGTCTCATTAGTACTAGCTTCCTTTCTCTGACCACAGGGCAGTGCAAAGAAGGCAGAGGTGGGAGGCAGCCTTATACTGGGTTCTGTGTCCTGGATTGAGGGGCACAGGGCTATATCCTGTGGTTTGCAGGTATGACCAACCAGCCCCTTCCTCGTTTCTCAGATTAGTTCCCCAGGACCCAAAGCCAGGCTAAACCCAGGACAGGGGTGAGAAGTGACCTTCACCCTGCCCCAAACCTCTGGCTTCCTTTCGTTGCCCCTACCCCAGAAGAATGGAGCCCAGAGCACAGCTGACAGGCTCCCACAGGAGGAGGAGGGAGGAGGAAGGGTTTTCATCAAAGAGGTGACGTCAAAACCAGGCAACTTGTGAAGCTGTCAGGGGCCGGGAATTTTGGACAAAGATATCTAAAAATAAATCCCTGAAGCCAGGAAAAGGCTTTGGTGGCTGAGTCGCTTGCCACCACACCACATGCCATTCGCCCTATTCTGAGGTCTGGGAACCCAGGGATTATCTGGGGATGCTCCTCCAGATTAGCCCTTGAGGTTGAAGATAGCATAGACAAAACAAGATGGAAAATACCATACTCAAGCTCTTTGAGTGAAATGAGTGAGGACCCCTCCCCCTAAGGTACCATACTGAACAGTCCTAGGGCACTTGTGTGTCCCCCTTCCTACCATCACATTAGCCTACTTTCCCACCTCCAGTCCAACCCAGGATCTAATAAGCAGAGCCTCCTTAGCAGTGCTCCGGGCTACCACCTTCCAGATCACAAAGGAAACATACCTTTGTCTTCCTCAGCCTCCAACCTCACATCATGACACCAGAATACAACAACCTTCCTGACAGCTCTGCCTGCTTCTTCAGCCCTGTCCTTAACCATCAAGGCCTGGGATCTCATTTATTAATCCCCCAGCCCTGACATCATTCTTGTACCTCCTTACCCCGGGCCTGACTGGGCTCCCATTTCCACCACATGTCCTGCAGAACACAATCAAAAGGCACGTCTGAGTCTGCTGTGCTCCCATTCCTGCTGACTTTCTTGTCTTATGCTCTAGCCATGCCTTATGCACAACCCTTGCTGCCATAGGTTATCCACTGCTCACGTGCTACCACACCCCCTATGGCATTTAGATTTAATTTATGTTCTCTTCTAGGAATGGTGGCACACATCTGTAATCCTAGATCTTAGGAGGTAGAAAAAGGAGGATCAGGAATTCAAGGTCAGCCTCAGGTATACAGCAAATTTGAAGTTACCTGGCTCAATAACCCTTGCCTCAAAAAATATACTCAAAGGACTCATTCTACTGCAGAGATACTTATACATCCATGTTTGTTGCTGCTCTTTTCACAACAGCTAAGAAATGGAAGCAACATAAGTGCCCCTCAACTGACAAGTGGTTAATGAAAATGTGGTACATTTATACAATGGAGTTTTTACTCAGGAGTGAAGAAAGACAAAATCATGAAATTTGCAGGTAAATGGATAGAACTAGAAACTGTTGCAAGTGAAATAACAAAGACTCAGAAAAACAAATGATGTATGCTCTCCCTCATTTGTGGATTCTAGTACCAAATCTTTATATGTGAGTGTAACTGCAGGAGCCAGGAAAATGGAAAGGAACCAGAGAAGTAAAGGGAAAGAAGGAACCTGAGCGAGACGAACAGTAGGAAGGGGAAAATGGGGTATTTAAATGGGAGGGAGAGAAGGAGGGTTATACAAGGAACTATGGGGGTAAAGGGGAAGAAGGAGCTCAAGAGATGGGGGCCATAGGAGCCAGGTATTACCAAGGGAGAAATGGGGAAAATGAGGGTATTTTAACTGGGGAGGGAGGAGGGAGGATTAGATAGGGGGAGAGAGAGGAGAGATAAATAATGTCTAGTTGGTGTAAAAAACCAGAGGGAATCATATTAGTCCAAAAACTACTGAAAAATTACACATACAATATCGCTACATGAGTCTGTGAGTACAGCTGAAGGCTATATAAAAAGAAACAGTGCCAGACAGGAGAAACCTTCCTTTAAGTTGTTGGTCAGGTAGTCCAAGAGACTCCCAAAATTATACAGGTTATTGCCATAGCCCTTGATTACCTCCCAGAATGTGAAGGTAAGACCCTATTGCTGAAGACAAGACATACTTTGGACACAGGACTTGGAGCAAAGGAGCTGGAACTGACCTAGAAGCCACCTCCCTAAAGGCTAGCTCTCATAGTTTTGGAGAACACTATGCAAGCTGCTAAGGGAGAATGTCAATCGAAGGTTCAATCCTGGCTTTAAGGCCTAATAACCACAACAATGACCAGCACAACAAACTACATTGGGGCAGCAGGAGCACCTTTATCTTGTGGATAATCAAGTTTCTTAACTGGACCTAAAGCTCACTTAATGGGAGGGAACTCATGTGTAGTACTATAAACATAGCCAAATATACATGGCTAGAGAGGTCATAGACCTTAGAGAAAACGCCAAGGTTGTCACATGCCTAGACAACCGTAATTTCTTACTATATGCTAAATATGAATCCTTATATTTACAGACAAATATGCCAGTCACTACTTATCAAAGAGCTTCTTTTGCATAAGATGGAGACTTACAGAGTTCTACAACTGGTCACACACAGAGATTAAAGTGTTTGTGAAATGCCCAACTCTAAGTGACACATCTGCAATGGAACCTCTACACCTAAGACTCAGGAACACAATGGAACAAGGGGTAGAGAGAATACTAACGTTATCTCTCAACTCTCATCAACGAAGCTCCCTCATTCAACAGAGAGCAATGAATCCAGGGCTCAGAGACCATGTGGAAGAGGGGGCAAAAAGATTGTAAGAGCCAGGGTGGGAGGTGCATGACCATATGGAAATAAGAGTCCTACCGGCTCCTGGGACCTTGCTCATATGAACTTACAGCAATGGTGTCAGCATTCACAAGGCCCATGCAAACTCAAGCAGACAAAAACCTAGCATAGAACTGTGGAAACGGGCAGAAGGCCCCAATCTTAGCCAATGAACTATTGGGGAGTTGATTACTACTAAGTAATGAAGAGCTGATCTTTTTTAAGGGAGTGACTCTAGATAGGCTGACTAAAGCCCAGTGGATGAACTTGCACTGGGGAATACCAGGGGACACTAACTTGACTCAATAGGCCTTAACATAAATGACAGAATGCATGAAATCCAGTGGGGGAGGGGGGACTATGGGAGGGTGCCAATGGGGAAGGGGGTAAAAAGAGGACTAAGATGTGTATGAAATACACAAAAATTCAATAAAAAATACATTTAAAACAATGAAACAAAAACAATACAGAAAACCCCAAACACACCTGTGCCCTTTGCTCTGCTTAGAACATTCTTACCTCCTTTCCAAAGGCTCTCTCCTAGAACTCAACCTTGAAGTGACCTCCAATCCCTGACCACTCTACCACTTTTGCATCCTATTATTTCCCTGTGTTTATCCCATACTTATTGCCTGTGGGGACCTAAAGGCCCCACCTTTCATAGGTCCAAAAGGAAGTTACTGGGGGTGCAGCCTGGCTTGCTTTAAAAGTCTGAAGAATACTTCTGCACTGCTAAGGAGTGCATGATCAGCGTGTGACCATCCTTAAGATACACCCTCGGGGGGGGGGGATTTCCAGGTGCCTTTATAAGTTTTGGAACACTTGCAATAAATGAGTCCTGGCCTGACTAGACTCCCCATTGCGTCTGAGTGTCCCCGGGTATTGGGGGCAGCATGGGCTGGTGAATGGCGTGTTTACTCATCCCCAGTCATCACCTCCCCAGGGGTTGCTGGTTCGAATCCCCGGCAATTGCCTACCTTCATCACCTTACTGAACATGCCTCTTTTATGCTGGTGTTCCACAATGTGCGCTGAGGAACACTCAGCACAGAGACACTCAATAAACACATTCCAAATGAATGAATAAATAATCGCTTTCAAGCGCAAACTGCAGTTATTTCCCTAGCACTGAAGTTTATAAACATTTAGAGAAGGGGTGTACACTGAGCAAGTTTTCAAGACTTCTATAGACATAGAGACCTTGGTGGTTGCTCCCCTCCTTCCTCCACACTAGCTGTATAGCCAACATTACTTCCTTCCAAGTCAAAAGAGAAGGAGGCAAGGCCTGCCACCACCGTTCGAGTCCTGCTCAGGGAGCAAGGGTAGGGTCAAGACCAGGGTGACATATGACCACTGATGCCTTGGCAGGTCTCAAGCAAAATGGGGACAGGGTAGGACAGAGCCAGAGCCAATCTGATTAAACCAGGTGCGGTGGTTTGAATAAACAATGGCCCTCATATGCTCAAGTATTTGAACACTTGGTCCCCAGTTGATGGCACTGTTTGGGAGGTTATGGAACCTTTAGGAGGTGGAGCCTTGCTACAGGAAGTGCAACACGGGGGGTGGGGGGGTATACACACACGTTGAGCGTATATAACCTCACTTCCAGTTTGCTCTCTCTGCTTCCTATGTGTGATTGAAGATGTGATCTTTCAGCTTCTTGCTTCCATACCTGCTGCTTGCCGCCATGCCTCCCTTGCCATTATGGACTCCCTCTCTGGAGCTGTAAGCCCAAATAAACTTTCTTCCTTAAGTTACCTTTGGTCACCCTTTAGTACAAAAGTAACTAATACACCAGGTTTTTTTTTACAAAAGTAACTAACTACTTTAACAAAAATAACTAATACAGCAGGTTTCTGAAAAGGCTCTTGGGAGATGCTCTGACCTTAAGTTCTTAGGCATCTGAAAGAGATGCCAAAAAAAAAACACCTCTACCAATATTCCTAGTTCCCCAAACACCTGATCCATGACGGCCTCAGGGTGTTGTTCTCCCAAAACCACTTCTTCCCATCCTGGGAAGTCCTCCTAGTTCTCACCCAATGGACCTTACTGTCTACCCTCCATATACTACATCTATGCCTCACCTTGATGTAGGTGTCCAAAGCAGGATGAACTCGGTGGGCTGCCAACCAGATGGACAGCGGGGTAGTATAAGGGAAGGTAGCTGTCACCACATGGCTGGGTGCTGGAAAAGAGAATACCTTGAAGCCAAATTTCTGATAGAGGTGGATAAGCTCAGGGGAGGGCGACTCTTCTCCCTCACTCAGGATGCTGCCCACTGCACAGCGGCACTTCTCAGGAGGCACCTGTGGAGGCAGAGCAAGTGGTCAGAGCTCTGCAAAGGAAGGAGGCCTTCAGACTTCAGGCCCTCTGCTTCTGTGCTAACTTAGACCTGGAGAACCAGCAGCTCTGACAGGTCACACAGCCCTAGATACCAGGTCAGAGCTGGCCATTTCTCTACTGAAACCATCTATGGCCCATATCTGCATCCTGTTGTAGGACTCTCATGCATCCCATCATTTATTCCTTCAACAAACATGCCAAGAAGTATACATGACCCAGAGGTCATAGTGAAAAAAGAAATTTGGTCTCTACCTTCCAGGAGCCCAGCAGCATGAAGGACAAAGAGGATATTTGAGCTATCATCCTCCACATAGGCCATCATCAACAGGACTGTCAAGGGGCCCTCCCATCTCCTGATGGTGCCTTCTGCTGGCCCCCAGCCTCCCAGGGCCTCCAGAAAGATTGCAGATAGCGGATCCTGGGGTCTGGATCCAGCACAGTCCAATTAGCTCATTTCCCTCTTATCTCCCAGAGGAGCAAGCTTTACTGGCAGGCAAGGGAGCAGAACTGAGGAATGGGAACAAAGAGAAGAGCCCACAACCAATGTCTTCCTGGATTTCCCATGAAAACAAGTATGTGTGAATGTACATAGTAGAACACACAGGATAGAACTGGTCAGGAAGTGAGATGAAAATTTGAGAAGGAATCTCCTAGGCTTACAGGTAGGGCAAGCCACTATCACAAGGGCCTCTAGACCCTTTCCCATCCTGAGACCTGCCCTCTTTCCGAATTTCTTACTGACTACACTCCAGGCTGTTAGTTCCCTAAGTCTCTCAGTTCCTGATAAACGGTTTTTTTGTTTGTTTTGTTTTCTGGTCTTTTTGAGACAGTGTCTCCCTGTAGCCCCAGCTGGCCTGGAACTTGCTATGTAGACCAGGCTGGGCTTGAACTCAGAGATCCACCTGCCTCTGCTTCCTGAGTGCTGGGATTAAAGGCGTGTGCTATCACACGCAGCATGAATATATTTTCTATTCTGCTCCTCTTCCTCCCTCCTCTGGCTCCCAGCAGCTCCAGTCAGAAGGGGTTTCCAACATTTCTTAGGACTGACCTAAGGCCTACAGGACCAGTGCTCACTTCTGGTACCAGGTGGCCATAGTCTGTCCCACTTTCTGTTTCCCATGTCCATTTTCCTGCTGTCTAAGACTATACCAGCCCTTGGGCTGGGCCCCCAGTGGAAGGTGTTCCTGAATCCAAGACAGTTACCACAGACCCTTCTGCTCTCAATTCTGGGTTTTGTTCATCTGAAGGTACTCTTCTCACCTAACCCAGAACCTACTGACCTCTAAATTTAAATGGACCATTCCCCCTACTTTCACTTACTACCCCCTCCACTTTCTCAGCACTGTGAAGTCACTGTTACCTGTCTGCTTTTACTACCCCACTACGGCCCTTTCAAGACCTGCCAGTAAGCTCTGGGTGGGGGGCTTTCTCAGCTCTGATGATACCCCTACTCTGGCAACCTATTCCTGCCTTAGAATCATACTTTTCTGGGGACTTGGGCACCTATTCCAGGCTCTAACCTCTAAGCAGACCCTATGTGTCAGCTACCTCTCAAGATTCTGGTCTTGCTGCTCCCTCAAATCCTATGACATCAAGCATAACTTGGAGCTTTAGTAGCAGGCAATATAGTGCAATGGTCATAACCACAGCTAAGGAAGGCTGACTCAGGTATGAATTGTGAGTCATATAATCTTGGCCAAGTCCCTTGGCTTCTCGGAGTACCAATTCCTTGATACTTCCTTAACATTTCCTTACAGACTTTTCATATTAAAAGAGGGGGGTTAAAGAGGTAGCTTAGGGGTTAAGAGCACTTGCTATTCTTCCAGAAGACTTGAGTTTGATTTCCAGCACCCACATGGTGGCTCTGTTGCCCTCTTCCAGCCTTCACAGGCACTACACACATACTAGTATAGATACCAGTGTACCTAGAAAACACTTGTACAAATAAATAATTAAAAATTTTTTTAAATAAAATAGAAAATTCACAAGGGCTTAGCTGGGGCCCAGAGCTCATGAAGTACTCTACAGCTGTCACTGGTTATCTATAACTATCACACAATCCCAACCACTGTCCATTGGCTTAGAATGCCCATGTAGCCTAACCTCTGGATAGTTCCTCCAAGAGGATTCCTCCCAAGAGGGTTCAAATGCCTTCTTGGAGAGCCTTTGAGGATGGCTTTGTAACACTCTCTCCCCTCCCAATACCCCACCTCCACCCAGTCCAATATTTGCAGTCTTAGCTTTCTAAGAGGGAATGGGAGGGGCCCTCTTGGCCTGAAGTCCCTCCCATTCCACCTGGACAACACAGCAGACTGCTGCAGTACCATGTTGTGTCTCTAGATGGTGCCCCTGCACCATTCACATGCAAGACTTGCAATGGCCAGATAGGCAGGAAGTTCCCATTGGCCTGAGCTGACAGACTAAAGGACAGTAAAGGCCACAAAGCCTATTTGCAGCCCCAACCCTAGCAACCTACTTTGAGGGGTGGGGGTGGGGTGAAAAGAAAAAAAAATCCAATGTAGATTAGAGAGAGAAATGAGTAGATGGTTACATATGTCACCTGATCTCTCCTCTCTACCCTGCCTCAGATTGGGTTCCAGGGTCTTTCCTGAGATCACTCAGCAGCCCCCATGGAACTCCTGCTCAACACTCTCTTTAGTTTCCAACACTGGAACACATAGGATTAGAACCTCTCAAGGTATCCCAGTTCACATCTAGGGCAAAACCAAATTTCTAAGCCAAGTAGACCAGGCATGACACTGCACTGACCTCAGGACCAGGTGTCAGCTGAGCCAGAGCCCAGATGGGTGGGCAGTCACTGATTACGTGGCAGAGGGAGGACGTGGCAGAGGGACAGAACCAGGCTCTCGCCCAGCCCGCCTTGCCAGCCTCCTCTCCCTTCACACCCCCGTATACACCCACATGAACTATTTGTAGCCAAACATGCCACGTCTTCCCATGCTGCCTGCCTTTGCGTAAGCTACTTCCTCTGCCTAAAATGTTCTTCTTCAACCTATTTGAGTTTTCTGCCTGGGAAAATCCTGTTCATCTAGCAAGACTCAGCTCAACTCTTCTCCTCAAAGCCTTCTGTTACTCTACCAGGAGCTGCTCTGACCTCAAATAAACAGCAAGAAAGCAGGTCTACTTCTCATATCGCCACACTACTCCAGGTCTCACAGCAGAAATGTCTAGAATCCTTCCTACAAAAAAAGTTCTTTGAGCATGCTCAAAGAGATGGTACATATATGCACACAGCTGTACACACAAGCCTGGTATCACAATCAAACCTCCTGAAGAAAGGGAAGGGTTCCTCCACAACGGAGGGAGGTAGCTAACAGAGACAAAGTTCCTGGGAGAGTGTGGACCACAAGGACTCTCTTCTTGTCTGAGTAATCCCCCCAAATCCATAAGCATGAGGTCACTTCTTCCCCCTATCATACCCTGGCCAGTGCTTAGAGGGTAGCCTAGAAGGTTCCTCAGGAAGCCTATCACCTGTTAAGTGGTACGTGCCAAGCCAAAAGTTGGGAAGTGGCAGAACCAGGGACCAGCAAGGAGACAGGAGCAGCTACTAAAATAACCCAGTAATCCAACTGGAAATGGTCCAATAGCAGGGATGTAGCCCCAAGGCAAAAGCCTGGGTCTCTCACCTGTTTACTCCTTCTCCAAGCCATATCAGCAATTTCTTTGGAGTACCTTTGACCAGAACAAGAGTTGGACGAGAACCATGCCAGTCTGGAACCATACCTGGAGACAAGGCAGTGGCCACAATCATCACCACTTTGGGTAAAGAAAAGTTCACCCAGGCCCTACCCTCAAGGTCAAGGCTATCAGGAAACAGACAAATACATACGAGGCCTCACCGCTTTCCTTCAGGCTATGCTCCCTCTTCAGTCCCCTCAGTCCCCGTACTACAAGAGCATAATTGCTAAAAACCTGAAGCTTCTAGAAAGGAGCTGATCCTGAGGCTGGCCCCAGGACCTCTACCAGAGAGGTCTCTGACAACCACCAGAATACAGTGAAGAGAACAAAGAGAGTTACCCCAAGAGCATTGCCTGGATAAGACAGCACTAAGTCTAGGAACAAAGCAAGATGATATCTTCTAGGATCCAGGAAGAGTCAGCTGGCCTACTGAGTTTGGTAGACATAGTCAACTTTAAGCCCACAACCTGTATAACCAACAGAGACAGCTACACCATCTGTCAGTACAAGCCCAGAAGACCTGCCTTGATCTCTCTCATCCAGCTCACTCAACATAAAGCTATCAAGGCAAGGGGAGAAGCAAAAACAGAGCCCTATGCTTGCACTGGCAGTCCCAGGATTACAAGGGAGTGGTATAGTGGAATGTGTGTGTGTGTGTGTGTGTGTGTGTGTGTGTGTGTGTGTGTGTCTCTGTGTGTGTGTATCCTCCTCTCCTGACCCAGTGATACAGATCAACACACCAAGCCTTGTGTGTTCAACTTTGCTGGTATATGAAGGAACATGGTAGCTATCATTCAGGACATAGACTGATGTTGACAACCAGGCTGGAGGACAGGACTTATACTTCAGGCTCAGAAGGAGGGAAAGTCAGCAGGATGTCAGCTCTCAAAGGTGGCTCTGAGGCTTTCTGAGTTCCCATCTTTAATCCCTTACCTTTTCTCCCACTCCCAGAAGCATACTCCTATCAATAGCTGGCACCTGGCAAGGCCTCACCAATTGCTCCAGTTAGCTCATCAAGTCCAAACAGCTCTGTGTGGTCAGTCAGTGCTGTTATCAGTCTTGTTTCTGAGGCTCAGGAAACCAAGCAAATGTCACACAGCAAGACAGTATTGGGGGCAGGGTTCCAGCTCTGGAGCTACACCACACAACCCACAGCTACTAGGGATTTTGATAATTCAGTCCTGGCTAGGAAGAGACTACACCGTGGCCTTCCCTGCACTGACTCCTCACATCACCCAAGGGCTACTGGTAGCAGAGAGGCAGGGTTCCTAAAAGCACAAGGATTCAGCAGTACAGGTTCTCAGCAGGGTTGATGCCAAGTGTGCTATATACCTATTAGCAGCCAAGAACTGAGCCTTTACTTTATCATTTAGATCCCATAAAAACAAAACCTGGGTTGGGTAGATATATGTGTGTATTTAGCACAAATTAGGCCTTGGGTTCAATATTCAACAAAAACAAAACAAAACAAAACAAAAACCCAACAACCCTGACCTGAGGTGGGGATTCTTTTATCCCCATCTGACAGATGAGGAGACAGACTCACTGAGAGGTCAAGTGACTCACAGAATCACACACTGGCAAGCAGCTGGAGTCTTGATTCAGACCCAAAAGGTTGAATATGGGTCCTCTTTTCTCATCTTATCTCCCAAGGGCAGCTCTACTGGAGGTAGAGAGGAGCTTACACCTTGTGAGACCTCTCCCAAATTTAACTTACTACAAAGCAAAAGCCTGGCTTCATCTAGCAGTAAAAATCCACAGAGTAATTGGGACAGGGGCTATTTCCTTTGCCTTGTGGAAGAGACAAGCCCTGGGAGATCTCACCTCCTCACCCCTTCCAAGGCTCCATCTGACCTACATGCCTCAAGGGAGGGTAGCCCCCCAACTCCACTGAGTAGTGAGGGGAAGGGTGGTACAGGCCTAAATTAGAACTCTTAGGAGTCTTGGGCCCTACAGATTTAATGGTCCCAGGCCTTGATTCCCAGTGGACCAAAGGAAGAAGAGAAGCACAGTACTCTAGCTCCCTAAAGGCAGAGCCCAGAGTGCCACCAGCTCCCCAACCCATTTCATGCTGGGGCAAGTACCCCCTGCTAGGTGACTGATGTGAGCAGCAGACTCCACCTGCCTAGGCCAATTAAATGCAACTAGCTACCACGACCTCTTGGCTTACTCAGGCTACCACAATGGCAGGCAGACAGGTTACATAAGCCCCAAACAGCAGAGGTGGTAGTAGCATAGCAGAAGTTAGGGCACGAGGTGGCAGACAGGGCAGACTCACAGGCACAGTGACAGCAGCTAGCCTCCAAGGCCTAGCTGCAGGCCAGAGAGGCCAGGATCAAGGAAGGTACATACGATCTTCCCAGTTCTTCCTTCCCCTCTCAGAGGAAGAATTAGGCCCAGCAAAAGAGGCTAAAGTCAACTCCAACCCTCTAGTACCCAACTTAGAAATAAAGTTGAGGGCAGAAAAGTTTCAGCCAGGACTCTTTCCTAGCTATGCAAAAGGCAGTGAGCACTAATGGGCAGGGGAAGTGGGGCAGGTTTGTAAATGATACCCACCTACATCTGGCCATGGCCTCTGGAACTCACCCCTTGTCACCAGGTACCTTGAAGAGAAAATGGCCTGCTGGCCACTGATGGGAATAGAATACCTGTGAGCCACACCAGGGCCTGTCCACTTCTTGACACATGTTCTCTCTTTGCTCCCCCTCCTCCCAATTATGCCAAAGCCTTTGGGAACAGGGAATGGAATCCTTCTTCCTGCATCACAGAAACTATCTGCTCAGACCTCATAGTCTCCTCTCATCCAAAAACTCTAGGATTCAGGACTCAAGTAGCAAATGATATGTAAAGGTCCACAGCAACCAACTCTGTCCTGCCTTGGAGATGTCCTTTCTTCTGCCATTTTCTAGACCCATGTGAAACAAAGTGAAGCTTCACCAGGCCTTTCTCAGGAACCATGCCTCCCTGGTATAGCTCAGGCCAGGAACTGTCATGTCTAGGGAGCTGTCAATTCATGTCTCAGCAGGGTGGCCAGAATCCAAAGTTGAGCAAATCTCTAGCTTGGCCACTCACTGCCCCACTCTCAGAGCCTGCAACAGCCTCACTTCCTGCCTACACACACAGCCCAGCTGACTTCTGTTGTACTGGTTTAGGATGAATGGAGATAGGACACTCAAGAGGTCAGCCTATATCCTCTTTCCCCATTTATATCCCCATTTTGCTCAATGCTAGCAGAGGCAGCTACGAAGTGGCAAGCATGGGTTCTCAGCCTTCCCCAGGACTGAAACATGGTCTCCCTTTTAGGCTCCTGACACTCTCCTATCAAGAGTTGAGTCTCATGGTCCCCAAGTACAGAACCTGGTACAGATCCAGGGTTCAACTATTTATTGACTAAAAATAAGAAAATGAAATTAGTAACATACATACAGTATCCACCCTTACTTAGTATCCACCCCTTACTTTCCCCTACCCCCACTCCCCTCCACATATCTATTACAATGCTGGAATGTGGTCCAGGCATTCTGGATAGCCATGAGCCTGAGCATTCTGGGAATCTGGACCTTTTTACAGTCTCTACCAGACAGAAAATGCCGAGCTTCAGGAGTACAAAGAGACCCAAGTGTCCCTGAGATACCCCAAGTAAGTGCTAGGTGTAAGCCAGCATTGAATGTGGACATGAGTATCTTCTGCAGTGATCAAGATTGGGAAGCACAAGATCAGAGTGGTCACTTTAACCTCTTTATGCATCTTCTGTGACAGCCAAATGTTTACCACCAGGTCACCTAGGCCTGGGTCAGAGTTCTCAGTCTGATCCCTCAGCACATACTAGTTTGTTTTCTCTATGCTTTTCTGTTGTTAAACATCTGTTGAGAGCCATATGCTGGGGTGAATGTCTCAACTACATCACTTAAGTTAATCACTGCTGGCCTATCTATGAAATAAGTATTTCCCTAGGATATAGCAGAGGAGAAAAATATAGAAGTTAGAAAGGTTATATGACATAACCAATAGCACATAACAAAAAAGTGATGAGATACAATTAGAACCCAGGACTACCAGCCTTATGGCTGTGCTCTGAGGTCATGGCTCTCCAGGACCAGCACCCAACACTGGAGCTACAAGGCCCACTCCACCCCTGGAAGAGCTGCATGGGGGCTGACTGGAAGCAGTGACCATGCCGGTGGAAAATATATCTTACTAGAGTTCTGTCTCATTTCTCCCAGGCCTGGCCTCCAGCAGTGGCCTCTGAGAACCTGCTACCTTGGTCCATTTCCATCATGGAATTAGCACCTTCAACCCCAAAGGAATATACTTTTCCATCACACTTGGGCCCTGATGCTTCCAACTCCAGGTAATACCATCTCCTAGTCATGTGACTGCAAAACCTCAAGCAATGTCTACTCATCCCTCAACTAGCCCAGGCCATCTCTCACCTGGCCCAGCCCAAGCCCAGTCTTTTCAGTGGCCTCTATGCTTCATCCCCTTCCCTCCTCCACCTGCCTTCTAGTTAGCTTCCTAAAACAAAGGTGGTAAATGGTGCCACACCCATCTTCCCAACCTCCTGTACCTCCCCCATTAGACCAAGGAACATTTTCACCCTTTCTCCACCCACCACATGTCCACTGGGCCACACTGCCTCTTCATCCTATCCCCAAGACTTTGTTCTTATAGTTTCCTTAGTCAAGTAGCCCTTCATGGCAGAGGAAGATTCTACTCATGTGAGAAGGCCCATCCATCTCTTCTCTGAGCCGTCTCAGCAGACTTGAAGCACCCCCCCACAAAAACCACAAACTCAAACTTCAGTAGACATTGAATCTAGTGTCTTGCTGGAAAATCATTTGTGTGAGGCTGACAAGCCAACCACAAAGTTTCTCGAGGGCAACACCAGGTCTAATTCAAGTCCAGAGTACAAGTGTAGAGCAGGACCTGGTACAGACATGAAATCAGCACACCCTTTTTTCAACTGAGTGCCCGGTGAGGCCTTGTCTGCAGGCAATCGATAGGGTTTGTCCACTTCAGCTCTCCAGGAAAGGAGAGGGGCTGGGGATTCCAAATCCAAATCACTTAAGGCTTGGTTTGGCAAGGCTCAGAAATGGAGGCTGAAAGCCCTTGGCAGAGCTGCCACTCCATCCAGCTGTGAACAGCACCACCCCATAGCATGACAGGAAGCTACATTGGCAAGTCCTGACTCATGTAAGCTGTAGTACAGCCAGACGCCTACAGGGTGCCAGTGATGGTGGATTAGTCTCTGACCCCAGCATCCTGGGCATTCTAGATAGCTCATTTGGTTCCATTTGGCTTAAGGAAATGCTCTATCATTGGGCCAGAAGGTACCAAGGTGGCTAGAGAGGTAGGATTCTAAGCCCCATGCCCAGAAGCTGCCCTCTCAGTCTTCGAGGACCCATAGTCCTGGCATGAGAGCTGAGGAATGGAAAGCAAGCAAACAAGATTTACCCCTAGAGAGTGGGCAAAATCTGAATGGCAAGGCCTTAGAGCACTGGCCACAAATGAAGGTAAGAGGGACAGCAAGAAGAAGCAGAGAATCAAGGTCCAGGCAGAAGCTAGGGGACTGACAGTGATATGATCTAATGCACTCAGAAATTCCTGAGCAGACATGAGCAAGGGGAAGTAGATGTGGGCAAGCACAAAGCTTCAGGATGCCTGCTGCAGTGGCCCAGACTAAATCTGAAAAGGGCCTTAAGCTTAAAGAGGAGGTGGCCATAGGACCAGGTCAAATTTCCCCATCCTTTCCTTAGAAACTCCAAATCCTCTCCCCAACCAAGCCCTTGCTCAGGTTCATCCAAGGGGTGGAACGTTATGGAGGTTCCTTACCGAATGGGGGTTGTCATAGCAGACGGCGATGGAACGGAGCTTGGGAGAGATGCTGCAGCTCTCAGTGAATAGCTGTCCAGTGTCACCATAGGGCCCCACGTGGAATTTGTAGGCCACAGTGATGTTGCGGATGGGGGGCGATCCTGCACTCACTGTCACCCCAGTCAGCAGTCCTGAGTACCCAGCAAAGGCCAGCATTGTCAGCAGCAATAGCAGAGTCAGGCCTCCAATCAGGCCCAGTAATAGTAGGTCCGACATGGTTTTGGGACTCCCTCACAACACACGAAGGCAGCTGCAAAGGAGACAGAAGGGAGAAGAGGCTGGCTGGTAGCCTGTTCTGATATGTGCCTGCCCGCCAATCTCAGTCCTGCCTTGAGCGCTCTGCCCCAGAAGGGGGAGGGGCCACAGGTATTTACACATAGAGTGACCTAGAAGGGAGCAAGGAAAGATGACTGAAGCCACAAGCCTCTTTATTTCTTAATCACAGTTGCTGAAGCTCTGGAACAGCTCTGCCTAGCACAAGCAGCTCTGCTCATACCTGGAGAAACTGAGTCATAGAGGGGTAGAGGGATGAGTCAGTGAGGAACACACTCCTGGCCCTGATCAGACTCCCCCAAGATGGGTCAAATACCATAAGGAAGCCTTCTCCCAATTGCCTCTTCCTTCCCAGAGTTGAACCACAGTACCAGCACAGCCTCCCCAAGCCTCATGCACTAATGCCAGCAAAGGACAGACATGTGTGGGGTCCAAACACATATTAACAGGATACCCAAAGAACAAAACCCCAGAGGGAAAATGGGCCACAGGAAAAAAGTTTTATGGGAAATGCTCTTTTTCTAGGCACATCAGGCCTGTGGGGACCCTGCTTTCCAGCAGTGTACTTATCCAGAACTAGAGACCAGAGCAAAACAGCCGGAAAGGCCAGAACAAAGTCCAACCTAGGCTTCCCAGACATCAATTACAAATGTTAATAAGCTTCATTCTACTTTTCCCAGCCCACAGAAGATTAGAAACTGTTAAGAAGAGGAAAAGGCTGTTAGAAGTGGAAACACAAAAGAGGGGGAAGTAGCAGTTATTCATAATAGGCAGAGAAGCTCTACAGGAACAGACCCAGGATCAACACAGAAGCCTGTGTGAATCACTCTAGTCAGACTCTTAATTTGAGTAGCCCAGGGAGCCCAGAACACAGAAGAATGTTTAAAGAGGAAGAGAAACATGAGACCTACTGGAGAAACAGTCCCACTTCAATCATTTAAGTCATATTTAAGGGGCAGAGAGAGAGCTCAGCTGGTAAGGGCACATGCCACCAGGCCTGACCTGAGTTTGATCCCCAGAATCCACATGGTAGAAGGAAAGAACTGACTGACTCCTGCAAGTTGTCCTCTTACCTCCACAGGCAGGCTGTGGCACACCCCTCACAAAATATCTCTTTTAATTTAAAATTCATATTTAAAATATAAAACGTTTTAGTGCTGAAAAGCAATACTTTAGCCCTATAGAAAACTTAGCTCTGTGGATCCGTTCCCTGTTGGTTCTGAGTGTAAGATATGATGTGAAAATTTGGGAATCAAAAACCACACAGCACTGGCCTCACAAAGCCAAGTAAATCTCTGAGCTCTGCTGTCAGGACATTGAGGTGCCTCTCGCTGGTCCTCACACACATCTGGGCTCCTGCCTGTAAGTTTCATTATCTTTTCTGCAAGCTTCTCTGCCCTATTCATCATGCCTCCAGTTTAGTTTCATTCTTCTTTTCTCTGATAAGAGAAATAACAAATCTTCACCAAGTGCTTACTATATGCTAGATGCTGTCTGAATGGAACACAGCTACTTCATTAATCCTCAAAAGAATCCAGTAAGGCAGGAACATACCAGGAAACAGGTGGTAGGAGGTTAAGATGCTTGTCCAAGGTCATGCAGGTAGTAAACTGAGCCGCTTGTACCAAAATGCAGTCTGACTCCAGCCCATTTCCACTGGCTTCCAGAAAGGCCAAAGCATTTAATCCATGTCGGACCTTGCTGAACCCCAAGCTGGAAGCTCTCAGTATCTAAGCCACAGACTGCCTCCGTAGTGACAATATTGCTACACACGTCTGTTGTAAGGAAACTTAGTTCCCAATCTTTCTCTTTCTCCCACTTCCCAAACTGCTCAGAAAAGAGGGGAAATGCTTCTGCTCCCTCCACCCCCCAGTTTGGTCAGCACAGGAAGGAGAAGTTTTGCATTCTCCCAAACCCACAGAGCAAGGGCAGGACGAAAGAGGCTCACCTGAAAAGCCAGGCTCACTTTTAGCAACTCATGGCATCCAGTGCAGCAGGTTTCAAGTACTCCTGCGCTGGGAGCAGAGAAGAAGAGTCACCCCAGCCCTGGAATAGCCCGTGAGCAGGACACCATGTCCTGATGAACCCTTTTCCAGGGAAAGCCCACAGGAGCGTCTACAAGCAGCCCGACCCCACCCTCGGATCCCACGGGGGGCGGGGAGGAGGCCGCAACAGCTCCACAGTCAGGCCTGGGCTCCTCACCGGGGCCCTCCACGGGGCCCTCTTCCTGGAGGGCCCCCCACCAAGCGGCGTCTACAGTCCCCGCCGCTGACCTTGCGCAGCAGGAGCGCGCTCCTACGCCTCAGTTTCCAGTCAAGTCAGAGGTCGGAACTGTGCACCCGCGCAAGCTTCCCGAGGCCGCTCACGTGCGCGTCTGCCGGAGAGCCGGGCCCTTAAAAGGACCTGCGCCGTCAAACTTGAACGTCAGCCGCGACCCCGGGGAGGGCGCCGCCTCGCGCTCGGGGCTTCCAGCCCCTCGGCACTCAGGCCTCGCAGGCCGCACGCACCTCTGCAACTTAGGAGACGCTAAAGTTTGCGGCCCCGCCGCCGACGCGCGCGGCCTCAAGAAAGGGAGTTGAAAGGTGAGTCTCGATCGGGTTTCCCTCAGCCCCACTGCCCCAGGATGTGCTGCGCAAGGGGCGGCCCGGGGGCGGGGATAGGACAGCCTCTCGATCGTGGCCAGGCCCTCGGAACCCGCCCGAGACAGCTGCGGGCCAGATGATGACAAGCAAAGGGCAGCCCAGGCCGCAGGGGCAGAGTGGACCACCTAAGGGGCAGGGAAGCCTGCAGCCCGACCTGGGCGGATGGGGAACCCAAGCCTACGCCCGGACGGGAACGCCTTTCCTCGGGCCCCGCCCTCACCTCAGCTGCCGCCCCGCGGACGCCGACTCACGCTGGCGGCCGGGGCTCAGTCTCGGATCTTGCACACACCAGCGGCTCACGCTCGCTCCGCCCCTCTCGCGGCGAGACGTGGCCGTGGCCGTGGGCGCGTGCGCTCCGGACCTAGAGGGCGGAGGCCTCCCGCCCCGGCTCCTTGGCAACGCTAGCATAACCCCACCCCCACCCCCAATGACACACACTTCCCGCCCCGCCTGGGGCGGAGCGTCCAACACACCTTCCTACTTCCAACTAACTAGAGCTGCTGAAGGTGACCCAGCAATACCCCAAGGTATCTGGGCTGGGGGAAGCACCAAAGTGACAGTGGGCGCCTAGCACAGGGAAAATCCTGCTGACCTGTCCTAGAGGGCCAGTCAGGGTCCAGGAAGCCACCAGGACTGAAGAGTGCACTTGTGTATTTTAGGGAGGACCCGCACAGGAGTGTCAGTCTCAGCAATTGTACCACTCTTACCCTGTCACGTTCTTTCACGGAGATTTCTTGATAGGCCTGGGAACCAAGCAGGCCCGCCACTTGCTCAGGATTTATACAACTGAGGAAGCTAAATCCCAGTCTGGGCTAAGGAAAGGAGCTAGTGGATCCAACCACTGGAAAGGACAGATATCAGTCCTTCTGAGAACACAGGAATGATCATTCCTCCATTCAACATTTACTGAGTACCACTCCCTGCCACGACAGCTCCAGGGAGTACTTTTCCTCAAGCTTCTACTTCAGTGCCCTGGATGTGGCTGTAGGAAGGGCCTACTGGTTTAGTATAATGTAACATCCCAAGCCAAGTGTAAGCTCCCTTAGAACAGGTTCAATCTTCAGCTCTTATCTCTGAGGGCCTATAAACCACAAAGCACTCTAAGGGCCCTTGCCAAGAAGCCCAGATTTATGATGGAGGTGAGGAGCACAACTCTGCTCTTAAGCTTGGCTGGTCATAAATTTGGTTACAGGCTGGGCCAAAGATTAACTTGGTACTTCCGACAAGTTTGGAAAGATCACCTGGAAGGGTACACCAGAAAGATGGTGTGGAGAAACTCAGCAACCATCTTATGGGACAAGATATCTTATGAATCCCTCTACTACATTTAGCAAAGGGTAGGCTGGGTACACAGAAGCAGGCATAATTCTGGCTGCTTTTCCTCTGCTTCACATTCTCCCTTCCACAGGCAGAGAGGACTGAACCTCATCCACAGGACCAAGTCTATCCCAGTGCTCTGGGCAAACTGGCAGAATGGGCAGTTGGCCGCTCTTAAGTCTTCAAGACTGGGTGAGCAGGAAGGTCATCACAGTTTTACCTGTGAACATCAAACGTAATGATCACCTGAGCTATACACTTGGAAACATTTGAGACACAAGAAAGGTGCATGGTCCAGGTTCAGAGACAAGACAGCCTTTGCCTGTAGGATTTGCATGGTCAATTCTCCTGCTTCTCACAGATTGATGGGTTTCTCCCAAGAAATCATAGTTGAGGAGCACCCTTTCCTCATCTTGCCCTCTCTGCTCACTTTCTTTAGCCTGATTGAGAATTCCAGAGCCCAATGTCAGAATTCCAGGTGTGCCTTAGGAGCTTTAGCATTGTGTTGTTGAAGGAGAGTTGGCCTGCAAGTAGGGCTACAGACCATCAGCCCACCAGGCTTCATCCCCAACTGCTTCCGAACAATGCAAGCACCACCCTCAATAGGATCCCTGCAAGGCCTCAGAGAGCCACCAGAAGGCAGCAGGCTCCTTTGCAAGGCCCTTTTCATTGCTCCTTTGCAATAGATCTGAGACCCGGTTGCCTAACCTTCCAAACTATTCACATTCCACTCCCAGTCCTCTTTCTAAATAGTGGATATTCCCTTACTGTGAGCCCAGACTTGGTATTCCTCTTTCCCAGGAATCAACACAGAGCCACTTTCAATCTCCTCATGAAAACTGCTAGAGACTATTTCGCCAGGGCTCCTCCCCTTAAAGAAATTAAAAATTCGTGGGGTTAAACTACCTCTTTCCACGCCGAAACCCTGATTAGATTCCTTAACTCAGATGACAGAATATAGACACAGTGTAAGATGCTTCCCACAACTGCCATCCTCCACCCTGTGAAGAAGGCACTAAAGCTAGCCCAATCCCTAGTCAGTCACAGCCTAGAAAGGGCTGGCCCCTGGAGGATATGCCATGCTGGGGAACAACTAGCTTCAACTCCAGGTTAACGCTTCACTGTTCTACCAAGAGCCTGGAAGTACATCAGTAGCAGAGTACTCTTCAGGTAAGCAAAAGTGAAAAAAAGCTTAGTGACCGACACTGTCAATAGAACCTACTAGCAGTCTGTCCTCTGACCTACCTGTCCTACCTCTACGTACTGTCCTGGTGCCCATTATGCTGTGATACTCTCATCATCATCATGCAGCTAAGCAACTGTCCATACAATTCCTTGATCAAACAACACTGCCTTTAGTTTAAATTTTATTTTACAAAAAGAGAAATAAAGAAAACTGATAGGCAGTTATACTGACTTACAATTGTTCTGTTTGATTTAAAAAAGTGACATGAAACACAAGTAAAAATAAATACGTCATAGAAACAGCCAGTTGCCCAGTCTCTGGGGCAGACGTGCGTGCCCTGCTGAGAGAGGAGGGAAGCCCATAATCACACCAGCAGCTGGATCATCCAGCCACAGATGCTCCTCTAAGCCAGGCACAGGTCCCAGGCCTCAGGGGCGTCCTGAGGAAAGAAGACAGAAAACTAAAGCCAGGTGCCAGGGCCCTGGGGTCACCTCATCTCCTCCCCACCTTCCAACTCCTCTGGCAACAGTGTGGCCTTAGTGGTTATCCATTGTGACCCCCTCAACCCACCTGGACCCTCTGATCCCTCTGGAAAGGGTACAAGGAAAAAACCTTGGGCAGGCTTGGAGGATTCTTCTGGTAAGTCCCCAACCTACCCTGAGTAATACAACCAGATAACAGTCATTTTACAACACAGTGCACATGAGCACACACATGCACACACATTCACACATTCATTCAAGCACAGCTGGGCTGAGCTTTCTTCCAGGGAGAGTTCTGGGTCAGGTCACAGTATGAGGTCCCCTCTCATTTGAATATCATCCCAGTAGTGGTAACAGAGGGAGTACCCAGACTTCCCCCAGCTCTCTCTACGTTGCAGATTATGCAGCCTGCCTCGCTGTCTCTCCCCAGTACGCTTGATGACTATAGCAAAGAGATCTGTGAGAGGGGAAAGGCGCAGACTTGGGTCCCTGAAAAGCAAAGAGTGTAGACACTGCCTGCTCAGAATTTCATCGTTTTAAGACTCAGATATTCATAAAGGGCCTAGAACTAAGCTAGTGGCACAAAACAAACACTGAAGAGACAACAGCAATTTGAATACACAGGGGCAGAAGAGTCCGTGGAAAGGGAACTGAGTCTGAAGGTGAGCAATGGGCAGGGCAGCATTTTCAGATAGGCCTTGAGGTGCTGATTTCCTGGGAACAGTCAGCAGAGGGGCCAGAAAGTCATCCTTTGGGGGAAGGGTAACCTCTTAAGAGCTGTGATGGGGCAAAAGCAACCTAGCTGAGTGCACAGAAATCCATGGCTCAGAACGACTGGTCATGTGAGAAATCAAAGTGGAAAGTAAGAGGTCTATCTAAAAATACTAGGAATGAGGAATGTAAAGTCCCCAGAAAACCTTCCATGGAATGAGAACTCAGTTCCAATGCAATGAATGTCAGGCTTAAAGATACTAACAGCTCGCTAGCAACAGTTCTACCCATATGGTTAATGTTTTGTTATTTCAACCAATCAGCAAAACTTGCCCCAGCTCTTTGTTTCATGCTCCCTGAGTGGGAAATTTCATTTTTAGGTGTAAGTCACAAATATATAGAGAATCTATACACTAATTACCAGGGAAGAGAGTTCCAAGGGCCAGAGATGTCCTTAAGCCAGAGACAATATAAATGCTTAAGCAGCACAATTCAAAGGGATAGATACCCAATCAAGAAGAAAAGGATCTGACCTAACATGGTTCACTTCCTTTCTTAAATAGCTGCTCTGTCCCTGCCAGAAGGAACAGAGAGATTATAGAAATCAAGCATTACTATTAATTGTAATCTTGATTCATTTAGTAGTGTTCCCTAGGATAAGAATTTAGGCTATACCAGATTGATGGGACTTGAAGAGACATCCATGAAAGACAATTGTGAGAAAAAATGGATGGGCCTGTTCAACCTTTACCCCAGGGTCTGTGCAGCCCAAGCTGATTTTCCTGCCATCACCTTCCCAAGTGCTGGGATTATGAGCATAAACCAGCATGCCCAATTTACCACCAAATGTTTCTGATCAAAGAAACTGTAAAATACAGTTCGTAAACTTCCTGCTTTCCTTATACACATGCTCATGCCGGGTATGCATGCATATCTCCACATTAGCACACACAAAGAGACAACAGAAAAATCAGATGTTTTTAGGTTTAAGAAAAAAAAGTCCATGGAACTCATAAGCACTTCAATCTCCTATGATCTAACTCTCATCCTTATACAATAGAAGCTGCACATTATCCAGAAAGCCTTCATTAGCCAGGTGACCCACCCAAAGTTATGGCCTTGGAGGTGAGGTGAGTTCCAAGCCCAGGAACCATCAAGTATAGAGCAGACATGTGCCACCTCCCAGAATACCCACTTACTTTCTGGCACCTTAAAAAATGACTGGTTTTAGTTCCCTACGGAAATGATTTCTAGTCATTTCCTGTCAGTGAACACAGAAATACCCTTTTCTCTTCCCCTTGCTGGCAGGCAGGCATGTGTGCATACACATTTCTGGGATCCCAGTGTTCCACAGTCTGAGAGGCATTCATGTAACCCAAATTCTGAATGTGTTCTACAGATTAGCGATCCAGACTAGCTCACTCCTACTGCACCAGCCTCAACCAGAAGCCCATTCCAATTAAATCCCTTGACTGTCCATTGTTGAGCTGCATCTGACAGAAAGCACT